GGATAAAGTCTAGATAAGAAACTAATATGCTGAGATATTAAGATGCCTTTGAGAGACTACTCCTTACCTCCTCCACAGAGGTCAAAGGTCAGGATCTGACAGAGAGCAGCACAGCTGGAGCGCTTTGAACTGAGCTCTTTCATATACTGTAATACTACATGCATCCAAAATACATCTCCATAACCACATACATAAATAATGTGGTTAAATCCCTCCCTAAATACTGACATATTGCCGTTAAATATAATGTTTACCATGCTCACCATCTCAGTGTGTTGGCATACAAACATTTGCTAATTTGCACTAAATATAAATTATAACTGAGGCTGATGGTAAAGTCATTAGTTCTGCATGTAATGGGCTTAGAAAAGTTCTCCATAGAGAGAGATTTTTATTTATTTATTTATCCCAAGCCACAGTTAAAATTTTTGTCCTTTAGTTGAAGTCGGGATCAAAGTTAATACAAATCTTTCTCGAGGGACTATTAATGTCTTTACAAAATTTCATGGCAATTCATCTAAAAGCTATTGAGACATTTCAGTCTGGACCAAAGTGGACAGTCTGACTCACAGACAGACTGACACTGGTTTTCCTGGAGCCATGCCCCTTGCATTGCTGAAAACAATGGTACAAAGAACACCCACTGTTGCTCTTGGAAAGGAAAAAAGCAATTTCAAAGAATAGAAAAAAACACATACCTTCATTCATTAGAAGGGAGTGGTTCAGAGAATAAAATACCAGGCTCTCAAGTACAAGGTTACAAATAAAAGCCTAAAAAGCCTAAATATTGGCTAATTTGTTCCAAAAACATCTCAGTGCATTTATTTTCATGTTTGTCTGTAATACTTAAAATCTCCGACAGCCAATACCTGAACATTTTCATCCACAAGATGGTGGTATTGAACCACAGCTTTACATAATACTGAGCTGCAATGGCAAATAGAGCATTGCCTCAGGTTGACCTCTTGGACTAAATAATGATTATGGCTGGTACAGGCCTACCCAGTGGAGAGACAACAGACATAGTTTTATGCTGAAAAAAAAGCACCCATGAAACCCTGGGACTCACAGCTTTTATTAATGTAATGGACATTGGAATAAAATACTCTTGTGTCTTCAAGGCAAAGTGATAAATGTTTAAATATTCTGCACAAAAATGAACATCCCAATAGGGATGATATGAGAACCAAAATTACCAAAATTAACATTCACTGTTCACTAATGAGCCCCTTAGAGATAAGACCCTGCGTAAAATGAAAGACCCAATTATTAGAGGTCAGAGAATTTCAGCACAGCCCTCCATCCCCTCTGATCCCTGGAGACACGTAATAGAAAGAACAGGTGTTACTAATAACATTAACAGTGGCTCTGTTCTATTCAAGTGTCCCACTAAGCCATGACAGGGTGCCAGCATACACGATACCGGGACCCTGAAACTGAAGCAGCTAAATGGAATTCAGCCATCATTCATTTTATTAATTTCCTCAGTAGAAAGGTCGATATAAAGAGTGTCAGAGATCAGAGCTTATGCAGTAAGCACACTGCCACTGCCAGTGAGAACTAGAGACAGGCTCAGGCTGGCAACACCTACAATACATCCTGCAATCAAAAACAAGTTAGAATGATGTCACTCAGACACAGTTAGTAATACATAGTGAAACGTGTTGGCTGAGTTTTCATTTGGAAGTACACATGTTAAATGATGTTTGATCACTAGGTGCTGCAGCGGGTATCGGGCTGTGCCATCATAAATCTAGTGGATCCCATGACAGGTGACACCATTCTCCAGCCCTGACCTAAAATACCTATAAACTGCCTTTAACTCCTTCTCTCACCCAAACAAAACTAGGTGGCGTGACCCAGCTTTGTATCTTCATCGTATCTGCTCAGGTGCCTGTCCGGCCCAGCTGTTGTAACTAGCATGGCAACAGCATGCCATGCTAACTAGCTTGTCGCCTGATATCATATATATCACTAAATTGTCCTCTACAGCTCTAAAGCTTCTACACACTGCCTAACACCATTCATTAGCAAACAACATGTTGATGCAACAGATACGTCAGACTGTCTAGCATGCAGTCACCTAGCCATCAGCAGCATGCGGCTCAGTCAAACAAACCAGCCAGCCAGCCATCTGCAGCTCCCTCAACCTAGCAAGCAACACACTACACATTTCTGTCTATAGCATCACAAGTTAATATTATAAGTTCTGCATTTACCTATATTTGACCCAGTCACTCACCTTTCTTCCTCCATTTACTGAAACTGGTTGCATGCCCTGTATATACAGAGGAAAACATCCAAGTGCATCTTTGTTGATTTTAAACTACTTGTGGCGATTATTGATACTGCAGCGTTCTTGTCCACATCCCTAAAACTATTCCCAGTCATTGTAATCAATACTAATATTTGAAACTTTATACAATCATAACTTCTACAGGTCTGTCATTGTGTTTGCTAATCAAGCCCTCTTTCAGGTAGATTAGTTAAAACTGCACTAATAAATATTTCAATATCAATAATGGATCCCGCAAGTACTTCTATGTCAAATGTTTTGCTCGTTGTGAATCAATATTGCCTGACTGCAGTTCCCTCACAGACTTTTATAATCTTTCAGCTCCTTGTTTTGGTTTTCCAGCCCTCATCCTTACTGTTTTAATTCACTTCATCACTGCACTGATTAACATCGTTATCATCTGCAGATGGCGGCTGTTTTCCGAGCTCCGACTAATCCACTCTACACTTCCTGCCTGGCAGCAGATGACAGTGGAGTAAATTCATTAGGAGGCAGAAACACGACTCCAAATGAATGCTAGGTGCCCTGGCTCGACTGGACGTAAAACACCTCGCCTGTGACCCATGATTTTAGAAAATTTATAAAGAAGAAGTGTTTTTCAGAAGAAAATGGCCATGGATGAATGTGCAAAATTTCGCAACAATCCATCCAATAGTTGTTGAGATATTTCAACCTGAACCAAAGCGGAACAACATTGCAATGTCTTGAGTCACGCTGCTGGCGAATGTAAAAATAAACAACTTAAGAAGTTAAAATGTTCATATGCTGTGACCATAAACAGTCAAACCTTGACTTGAGACTTAGCCCAGATCTGTCCTTACATAACAAAAACAATCCCTAATCTTAACCTAAACATAACCACTGTCAACACTTTACTTTAACGGCACCATCTCAAGACTTGTTTCAAACCATCTTAATCTTTTGTCTACAGGCAGCCTCCTGGCTTAGCAGGCTGATAATGGAGCTTCAAGCCATCTGTTTGTAGTTCGCTTACACCAGCAATTTAATTTATTCTTACATTAATGTCACAGTTTGAGCCTATATACAAATACAATAAATCAAATATCTTCTAATTCTCTGTTTATCTTATAGTGTAAATGTAGCACTTGTCCTGAAGCACTGAACACACTCTTGGTTGTTTGTTTTGAAGGGATGTACTTATAGTTTTTGATGACATCTGGTCCCTGTTCCTACAGAGGTTGAATGCACTTATTGTAAGTCACTTTGGACAAAAGCGTCTGCTACAGTAAATGAATGTACTGTATAGTGTAAACAAGTGATGCTGCTACAGTGTTGGGTGGATAGTAGGCCTATTTAGCATCTGACGATCATACCCACTTTACACAGTGAGTGTTCAGGTGGGCTGTGATATTAAAGTATGTGCAACAACATGAAGAGACTGTGAATGGTGTGTTGTTATCCCCATTTGTACCAATCATTGTGTTGATATAAACATACTTTTTTCAGTGCCTGCAAGTTGCTGCTGTTGTTACTCTTTAAACTGATCAATGATTGTAATAATATTAGTTAGTGTTACTTCTGCTGCACAATGAGATTTACACTTGGACATAAACTTGACATTATTGGTTGATAGCCTCAGAAAGAAAATAAGGAGCCCTAAATAAAGTTTTTGCCCTTAACCTTCAGAAACTCAGGGGTGGCCCTGGGTACAGCACCCTGATCTACAACTTTGTTATACCAATCTGGGACCTTGTGAGTAAGGATTTGTCAAATCTCAAAGCACAGAAGCTGTTGATTGATTTTATGTTGCTAAATCAGTTTACTAATCAGGGTGAATAGCTTTGAGGTCATGCCAAAAACCTGGTGATAACATACTATCAATAGATTATACAGACTGTGAAAGTGTGTTAATGATTGACCAAGTCGACTGAATATCAAAGAAGAAGAGGAGAAATTCCTCATTTCTCAAAATACCTGTGAAACTACATTTACTCAAGTTCAAATTTTAGGTAGGCTATTTGTACATCACTTGAGTTTTTGTATTTGATGCCACTTCAGACTTATATTCCACCACATTTAACTGACTATAGTTCCTAGTTAAATTGCAGATTTACACAAAACATATGATGATCTTATAAAATATAATGCACTATATTATTAAATACAGTTATGATGCATTACAGATTAAACTACCTGTTTCTAAATTGTTAAATTAACCCTCTATAACAGTAAAATGCTACTTACACATAAAGACAGCAGTAATTATAATCTAATAAAACACACATATGATAATATAATTGATATTTTTCTGCATAAGGTTTTCACTTACTTTTGGTAATCCATTTTTTCCTAACAATGCTCACATGCTCTGATTTAAGATACATTTTCAATGCAAGACTTTTACTTTGCTAATGAGGAACTTTCCTGGTGTAGTATATTACCACTTTTACTTATTTTATTTAAGTAAAGGGTCTGAATTCTAAAGTTTTCTAAAAATTAATTTTTAAAAAACACGCCCATACAGTCTTAACATGCTTCAGGTTCATGATTTGCGAGGTTTATAACCTATTAAAGTGTAATTGGAGGAGGTCATCGATCGCTTTGATGTCATCTCTTTGACTCTATGTGTGTGTGTGTGTGTGTGCGTTGCTACTACACACCGGGTCACCTCCTGGCTCTAACGCTCCTGCAGGGCAAAGGGCCAGCCTGCGCGTTCCTCCCACTATTTTCCACTGAGCGACAAGGCTGCACATTGTGCTCAGACCGGGCCAGCCAGCCAAGGTTACACAGTCGTTTTCTCTCCCCGCCTCTGAAGGTAGACAGTCCACGGCAAACAGCTGCGGCTCTTCATCCACACTCAACATTTCGCCACCGGACGGCTGGGGGACTTTGTGGTAAGGCTTTCTATGGTTTTATTTAGGAGGAAGGGAAAAAAAAAAAGATTGTTGCGGCGCGCATGGCGTCTAAGCGATGAGTTTGGGTGATGCTGGAGCTGTGACCTCCATAGTTACTGTAGCCTGGATGCGATCGACAGGATGCGATAAGTTTTTATGATGATTATTATTATTATTTTATTAATTCCTGTCTGGAAGTTTCAGTTGTCAGATAAGTGGATGATGTTATGAAGTAACCGAAGCTCATCAGCCCAGCGCTTACATCTTTCACTTCAACTGGAGACCGGACTGCTGTTTTGTACCTTAACCGTCGACTACAGCGCGTAAAGTGCAGTTTAGATCACACGTGTGACCCCGATGGAAAATTACTATAGTACAATATGGTGGTGCAAATAAACGGCAGGTCGGAGTTTCGGTTCAGAATTGAAGTACATTTGTTATGTACTCGCGATGCTGCATGATCATCATCGTAACATTAAAGTCTCCCTGTAAGGACACAGCCAGCCTAATGCTGCACAATGTTTGTATGTAGTTATCATACTGTGCTGTGACAAAGTTACTCCTCCCTGCGAAAACTTTTCAATGTTGCTTTTGCTGCTGTGTCTGGACAGGCTGTGATTTTGCAGTTTTGCATGTCTGTATGATGTCATGCACAAAATATTGTTTTTAAGAAACTTCTGGAGAGCCATTACAAATTCTAAATCCTCCACTGTAGCCCACCATTACACTATCATTATTTGTTATTTTCAATATCTTACTAATGATCTCTGTAGTATACTTACCTGTATATTACATACATATAGCTATACATGTATGTGTATATACATAGACTATAATAAAATATTACCATTCAGAGTTAGAGTTGTAGGGTAGTTTTTAGTTTTAGTCTAACTATCTATCTATCTATCTATCTATCTATCTATCTATCTATCTATCTATCTATCTATCTACATTTCAGTATTTAAATGTTATTCATATGAGCATCTGTTTATGAACATATACAGCACATACAGCATGCACAAATTCAACAAATAAAAGGTACATGATCACACTAATGCACAGTAAAACAATTCAACTCATTAATTTTCAACACTGGCAACAATGTTCCCAGAGATTTTAAAGGGACACTGCAGCATGCCTTAAATGGTTTTGCGAAATCTCTGGCAACAGACACATTTTGTAATTGTTTCATACTTACATCATATTGCCCAACCCCAGCTCTTACAGTAAATTAGCCTGTTTGAGTAAATCACTATCAGCTACAGCGATGAAACCACAGTTTTATTCTGGCCAAAGTCATGATGATGCATTAGTGTTTTGGAAAGCCCCAGCCTTGCCTTTGATTGTTTAGACATATAGTATTTTGCGTGGCTCCAGCATGTACCAAGCAAATACTCATTGACTGGCTGCTAACATGGTCTCCTGTTGTGGCTCATCATGCTCTGATTAAGGCCTTGCAGATTATCATGTTTTGGTTGCAGCCTAATGCATCTCTGATAATCAGAGCATGGACATTACTGTACTGGGGGTTGATCAGAATAAGCCATATTTAGTTCCTGCAGATAAGTGGTAATGGACAAATGCAACTATCAGTAATATTTGATTTGTTGCCTAGGCAGCAATTCACAGTCATGTGCAGGGTTTAAATCAGCCTAACGTTTGATTTCTATATTCAGTATATGCACAGAAACTCCTTGGTTTATGCTATTCATGCTGTTGTGCAACTCAGATGTTAAAATTATTACTGAATTCAAGTGAATATTTCTTTACGTTGAATTGATTTGAAAAAATGTATTGAAAGTATGTGAGCAAAGTCAGTGACATGGCCCCTCAGTTCTATAAGTCATATTTCAATGTCATATGACTGTATAGAAGAGCCATGTGCAGATTCAATTGAGATGCTTTAGCTAAATTTGATACATCTTCTCACATTTCTGTCTATAAAGTCCAAGGTTAACCTGTAAAGCTGGGTTCTACTTTAACCTCGGACATACAGAAAAGATGACCCATCCAGCACATTTATTTATTATATTTTCTTAAATTTAGTTCAGGAATATGTGTCTTTGTTGGAGAAACAGGCCGATGTACTGATGGTCACATGGGTTAGGGTTAGATGTATCTCACATCTCGAAGGAGGCGTTATGGGAGGAAGATGTACAGAGAGCGGACTTGAGCCCATATTTTGTCTTGTGTCATGTTTCCAGCTGTAGACGCAGGTGTAGACTTTCCAGTGGTGCAGCAGTCTGTGACGTAACGGCACTGAAATGAATGTATAGCTCAGAGGCCCGACAGTGGAACTAGAGAGCTAAAGACATGCCGCGATTTCTAGTAGCTGGAGGCACATTGTGCAAAACCTCAGGTGATATAGCATGGTATTGCAAAGAATACGAAGGCCTGCAGGACTGTGCAAATACCTCTGGGGTGATAATGAAGAAAGAGTTTGTGGCTGAGAATTATCAGGTTTTCAGTGTGACACTCAGCTGCAGGGATTTGTGCAGCTTTTGCTCGGCAGTGTGAATAATCTGGTCACAATTTAAAAAAACCCAGAATGTTTATTTAATCTGTAGACGCTCACCTTATATTGTGGGGTGCTTGAGCCAGAGTTGTAAGGCTCTATCTCTGGTCTTCAGTGTCTTCTATACATGGCTGTGCGACATGTTTCTACAGACGTAGATTTAGGTCAGAGTACTTCCTGCATGTTGATGATACTTTAGTAGGGAGTGGAGAAACAGGTTTGAGAAGAGAATCTGTTAATAACAACTAGAGATACATTTGCTAAAGGAAGTGTCCAGCTCTGAACATCATACAGTTGTGTAAATGGGCTTTCTGTTTTATATCACAGGGCTGATCTGACTGTCAGAGGCAGAGCAGCAGAATCTAATATTATATTGTAAATTACATATAATGTGACTGGCAGCTGTTTAAATCAGAATGGATACACCAACCATGTGTTTGAAACACTCAAAAAACATTGAGCGATTAACAGATGCAAACAAAAATGCACCACCACCACAATTTGACAGCTTTGGCAAGAAATACATTCACAAAGTAAATGTAGCAGCTTTGCCTGGGCAAGTCAGGATTCTGCAATTATTATTGCTGGAGCATGTTAGGGATAATAAATCTCCACAGTTTGACATCCTCATTACCTTGAACAATGTAAAAGCCAGAGAATCACTATGCAGCAGTCTTAACTGAACAGAGATGTGGTTATCTTCAGTACACACCTGCCTGCTGGCTTCTTGTTTTGTGTCCCAGAGTGAGAAGTGGCCACATTTGATCTGTTGTTTGAAACCACAGGGATGTGAAGGATCAGTTATTGGGACACGGGAGAGGAAGGACACACTGGAGCACAAACAGACACAAAAAAAAAATAAAAAGACACAGTAATCAAGTACAGATTTGTAACAACAGTAACATTAGACAAATACCAGACTAATGACTGTCTAACATCAGTGGTGAGAAAAAGAGTTATGATCTCAGCTGCTGTCTTAACTGGTTATGAGCATGTATCTAAACTGACAAGTTTGAGTTACATTTTGTTATTAAAACACTACTCAGAGTTCTTTGACATTGCCAGATGAATGTCATTATGATTACTAATCAAGCCTTCTGTCAGGCAGATTAAGTAAGCTTATCATACTTAAAGCTGTACTGATAAATATTTTTGAGCAAACAATTGGTCAAATTAGTCTGTGTAATGCAAAATATGGCATTCAGGATGACAAATCCACACACAATTCACACAATTATCACTTAGTCTGCATTTTCCCTCAGCTCTGTGGAGCGTTTTAACTTCTTTCAGCTCCCTGTTTTGGTTTGACAGCCCACAACTTTACTGTTTTTGTTGACTCTCCCAAAAAACACTTTGGTAAACCCACTGGACGCTACCTGCTTAGCACCAAACGGACAGACAAAGGCCAAAAGTGACTTACATTTATCAGATCACCAGAAACACAACACAACTCTGAAGAAATAGTAATGTGGCTCTATGCCTGCTGGGATGTGTAGGCAGCTGTTTGCGAACACATTGTTGTTATCAATTTTAAAAGGTGCTTTATATGTCAAATGTGTGTGTGATGTTCAGCTTATTGTGGTTTTTTTGAGTGCTCGATTAGCATTTATTAATAGTAGTTTTAACATTAAGGTGATTGTAAAATAAACATCTAATGGATGTGTGCTGGCTCTCATTATGCATGCTGTTTTTAGGTGACAAATGGAGACCTTCAATCATAAACTGAACACTTACATAGGGTCATGGATGGGTCCCAGAGGTAAGTCAAGTTTATGTTGCCGTCTTACTTGCTGATGTAAAATGCATGGCTCTTGTTTGACTTCCAAAGTGGTGCAAAAAACTGTAGTTACTGCAAAATCTCAGCAGAGCACTGCAGTTAACTGAAAATTGAAAGTAGTGAAGGTAAACGTTACCTAAAACCTTTGACCCAAGTCATTCATTACATGCTGTACACATTGCATGGACCTGCACAGGAATTCTGCTATGGTTTTTCACCTCCTAACCTCCTGCTAACCTTTTGTATTGAGCAAACATTGTTCAGTGCGCACTGCTACTGCTTGTCACCTCTGAAGTTCATCTGCTATTACCAGTGAGGCCACCTTATCAGCGCTTATATAAAAATTGGCCTCTTTATCTGCATATTTCAGATCAGCGAGTGAAGGGATGGCTGCTGCTGGACAACTACCCACCAACCTTTGCACTCACAGTCATGTACCTTCTGATCGTGTGGATGGGGCCCAAGTACATGAAACACAGGCAGCCGTACTCCTGCAGAGGCCTCCTGGTGCTCTACAATCTGGGCCTCACACTCTTGTCTTTCTACATGTTCTATGAGGTAAACACAGACTGCTCGGCACTGAGAGATGTGTTGAAGTAGGCCAAAGCAATCACTGCAATGTCACACTGCAGACAGATTATGAAAAAAAAAAAAAAGAGAAGAGAGAATTGACCTGAACCAGAGCTGCATACTCACTAAAACTAGTGTGTGAATATGACCAGATATCTTTAATTATTTTTGATACAAATAATTTGACATTTTGGAAAAATGCCTATGAACTGTCTTGCCAGAATTAGATGAGGATACTAAGATTGATACCACTTTCATGTGTTTACACTAAATATAGGCCTTTCTTTTGTTCTTGGTACCTTCACAGAGAGCCAGACTAGCTGTTCACCCCTGTATCAAGTCTTTATGCTAAAATAAGATAACCGGCCTATAGAATTATATTTACTGTACAGTTAGCAAGAAAGCAAACAAGCATATTATGCTTATGTCAAACTAGTACTCACTCTTGGCTTTCGAGCCAAGAGTTGAAACTAATATATATATATATAGCTATATTAGCTGGAAAAAAAACACACCAAAACATAAGACCACAACTTGTAAATATGAGTAAATATAAATAATTAATGAGCCTTAGAGGCACAGGTAGGAGGATTTTGTTACCAATGGACAAAGCCAGGCTAGCCCGTTAACAGTCTTTATGCTAAGCTAACGGGCTGCTTGCTACAGCAATCAAATTTACAAGACAAATATATATAAGAGAAGTATCAATCTTCTCATCTCACAGCAAATTAGCAAATAAACGTAGTTCCCAAAATGCCAAACTGCTCCTTTAAATATGTGGGAAACAGCTAGCCTGGCTCTGTCCAAAGATAACAAAATCCATCTACCAGGATACTAATTAACATGTCTCATTTGTTTATCCCATACAAAAAACTGTTGCAAAACAGTAAGTTTTACTTTATTAGGTGTTTTTTTCTTCTTGATAAGCTCTATATACTAAGCTAAGCTAACATAGCCATAGCTTTATATTTAATGGACAGACATGAGTGGTATCAATCTTCTCATCCAACTCTCAGCAAGAAAGTGAATAAGCATATTTTGCAAGAATGTCAAACTATTTCTTTATCACTTTACTCTGATTAGACGGGCCTGTAGCTGCAGGCGTCTCTCACTGAAAGCTACCATGAGGGACAATGCTATCAGGGAGTGAGAGGGACACAGCTGGACGCTGACAGGCTCATTGTTTCAGCCATCAAATCCCTCATATACCCTCGCAGACATCAGCACAGCCCCCTATTGTTTGCTCGAAAACTGCTTTTTTATAAACAGCTGACTAAATAACTGTAATTGATAGATCCACTGTGGTAAACAAGCATGGAATTGGATTCTTATTTGACAAGGTGGGAGAGTCTGAGCTGAATTTGTTGTTTTAAGTTGTAGCAGCAGTGGCCAGGCTTTACTTATCATAGTGATAGCTATCTATTGTTTTAGCCTACCTGCGAATACCAGAGCGTCAGAACAAGACATTGTGTTTCGTAACCGTGTAAGTCTAACGTATCTGCACTCTCCTCCTCATCCAGCCTGCAGAACAAGTTTCTTGTCTTTCTGTCTGCATTGCATAAGGCCCTGGTAGACTGTTCTCTGTGAGATTCATTAAACCCTGTACTCTGACCATTGCCCGGCCAGGGGGTGAGCTTTTGTCAGTCCAAGATCAATACCACCTGATGTGAATCAAAATACAGGGCAGTTTTGTTCTTGTCAACTTTCCAGGGTACAGCGGTTCATCACATAATGATTGTAATTAAAAGTGATTGTAATTATTTTTTTTATATGTTGACTAATACTACTGTAGGTTTGAAGAAATAATGAAGGAGGTACTGTATATCAGGTTAGTGGGAGGATACTGTCTGTGCACCCATGATAAAATACTTGATGTTCAAAAACCAAAGGTCATTCTGATGCTGGTTTTTAACTGATGGCAGTTTCTTGGCTAATGTTATTCAGGAAAGCCTTTTACAGCAGCAGACAAGGACAGTGGATCTATATTGATTTGGTGAATCAGCATTGAACTCCACCATCTATGTGCATTTGAATATTTATTCTTTAAAGGGGCATGTCACCTATTACACAAAAAGAGGTTAGCTTGCTTGTCACACAGAGTACTTCTCAGCCTGTGAATGCCTGGTGTATAATTTCTATTGTGTCTATTGTGTGTCTATTGTGTCAAGTCTATGAAAATAACCCTGATGGTATCAACTTGGACTTGGGAGATTTCAAATTTCAAATAGACAGTCTGTGTAATATCTCTAACTGAAGATGCTAATATCCTTGCTAAGCTTAAATTTGTTCAACGTACACTTCCTGATGACATGGAGTGTGAGATTTTTGTATAATTTGTTCTGCCCTATCTAAATTTGTTTAATCTTGTATGGCCTTGTATGCATGCTGGAATTGTGAAGGGACTTCAGTTCAAATTAGCTTCATGCTAACTCTGGTACAATACATTAAAGGGTAACATTTACAGTATGTTCATATTACACATGGTCCCTTTAAAAAAAAGTTGAATAAATATTTGAGTTGCCTTATGGGAATTGTAGCATAAGGCCCCGGTAGACCATATCCGTATCCCATTGTTTTTGGAGCTGCACCCATACTACGGACCAAGAGTCAGGATATTAACTTTACTATACAAAAATATACTAGTATAGATAGATAGATACTTTATTTATCCCCTAGGGGAAATTCATGTATATAGTCACAGGTGTACAGGTGTGCAGCGTTAGATGGTTACTATTAGCTATCTACCAGTCTGGTCCTATCTACCTGTGTGTAAAAATGCTTTAATCATATTAATTACTTCCAACACGCTCTGTGATAGCATCATCATCTAAATTCACCTGAAGACCTTTAAACATGATGTCATACATTATATTTCAATAGCAGGGTGAGCTGGTTTTTTACTAGATTAAATATTTTTTACTAACGTCAGCAGCTAAAAATCATTCACCACAACCTGACCACAGATATGTGACTATGTCTGGTTATCTGACATGCTATCTGTCTGTGCTTTTTTTTTTTTTTTTTTTTTTTTTTTTTTTGTGCTCGTGCTTATTACTCGCTGGACAGGGACATTCACATTTTACAACACCACATTGCATTTGTGCATTGCAGTGTAGTGTCTGGGTGTTGCATATGTGTTCATATGATTTGGTGATATCTGAACCGAATCTCAATCACCAATCACCAAATCTTATTGGCTTTTTCTTCAGCTTGTTACTGCTGTGTGGCACGGTGGCTACAACTTCTACTGCCAGGACACTCACAGTGCACAGGAAGTGGATAATAAGGTGAGTCAGTCAAACCCTTTTTATGTTTATTGCTGGGGATGGTTTTTCCTACAGAAGCATCTCTGACATAATTTAATTGTAAAGTATATGATTTCCCATTCCCTTTCTTGCAATTATTGACAGGACAGTAAAAGTATAAATATGAGTCACTGTAGGAGGGCTAGAATATATATAACGTTAAGCAAAATGTGCATTTTTTATTTCCTCTCAAATCTACTGCTCTGATTCCTTTGGGCGAGAACCTGTAAATCCCGGCAGATAAGCTGCAGAGACAGGGAGTCAATTTAATCCGACTCTTGTCATCATGATGACTGTCTTTAGTGTCCCTACTGAGCTCTGCAGTGGAGGTGAAAACAAGGCTCACAGAGAAATGTGCACAGCTTTGCAGTTCTGTGGTGATTAAATAAATAAAAAAGGTTTATCAATGTGTCACTGCTACAGATAGTTAAACTGCTTTATGATTAATCCTGAACATTCAAGGGCCTTTGGGACAGATATCTGTGAATCACCTTGCATTGATAAATAATGTGTGTAGGAATTTTGGAAGAACTTTTTCACTGTATTTTTATGATTTGCTGTCGAGCATTGCGGTGCCTCTTCAGGAATGTACAGTTTTCCTTCTGTTTTCCTTCTGTCCTTACCCATTCTTCTTTTGCTGTGTCTGCCCTCAGATTATAAATGTCCTGTGGTGGTATTACTTCTCCAAGCTCATCGAATTCATGGACACATTTTTCTTCATACTACGAAAGAATAATCATCAGATCACGTTTCTTCACATCTACCACCACGCTACCATGCTGAATATCTGGTGGTTCGTTATGAACTGGATACCCTGCGGCCATTGTGAGTGTTCTACCACAACTTTGCCCTCCAGTGACGCAAATCATTCCAGGAACCACATTTAGGCTGTTTGGGCTCACAGCGAGCTAAATAATTCAAGTGCTCTAATGTTAAACCCATTAGCACTGAAAACAGCCTGTTTTCCCCACAAAGCCTTGAAGGACACAAAGTGACACTTATTGACCTGAGCGCTGTTGCACTGTGTAACATACCTTTTTTTGCCCTTTTCTATTAAGAAAGCAGCACAGCACTCTGCGAGGTAGAAGGTCTTAAACTGAAAATCACTTCAAATACGCTGTTTACTGTTGACTTAAACATAATGTGACATTTCTGATCTATAAACATGTTCTATTATTTATCAGATGTTCACTATATTATTTCTGTATTACTTTACTGTTAATGGCTTTTATTGATTTTACATGAACATTGTAGTAATGTTTCTAAAAAGAGCAGACTAATGAAAAGTCTGTTATTCCCTGTATGATCATTGCCCTCCTGAATGCCAGTCACTCGCCATTCACTGACTGTTATTGCTCTGTAGATGAATAACTTCCTGTGTCTCTCCTCTGTGTCTGCCCAGCGTACTTCGGTGCGTCCCTAAACAGCTTCGTCCACGTCGTGATGTATTCTTACTACGGCCTCTCAGCCATCCCAGCCATGCGGCCGTACCTTTGGTGGAAGAAATACATCACGCAGTTACAGCTGGTGGGTTCAACCTGTAGTTTCTTCACAGTGGTGGAAGAAGCTCTCAGATCCTTAAGTGAAAGTAGCAATATTGTGTGAAAAATCTGATGCTGTAAAGTATCTGTAGCTGCAAAAGAAATGCATGGAATAGAAAGTAAAGTACAAATACCTTACCATACCAAATACCATAAGTACAGTAGTCGAGCAAATGTACTTTCCACCACAGTTTCTTCCCTCCTTTGTGTCATCCTCCTTCATTCCTAGGTGTAAAAAATTGAAATAAAACATATTTTTAGTCTTTTGGTTTGTATGTGATAATAGTTATATTCATTTTACATTGTGGAGCTGATGTTGCTGTTTAGATCTTGGAAGCTTTCCTGGACTATTTAGCGCAGCACCCTCTTTAGCATTAACACGACGCAGATGCTTTTACCATCAATTTAAGATATTTTAGGCCCTGGATCAACATTACCTTTGTATAGGCTCTCGGTGTCACCATCTCACTCTGGTATGTGTCTGCATGTATGTGTCATGTTCCCTCCACAGATCCAGTTCTTTTTAACCATGTCCCAGACAATGTGTGCAGTCATATGGCCATGTGACTTCCCCATGGGATGGCTGTACTTCCAAATAAGTTACATGGTCACCCTCATTATCCTTTTCTCAAACTTCTACATTCAGGTTAGTAGTTTTTTCCATTTTAAAGCGTTAATGAATGAGTTTAAATGATAAATGTGGTGATATTTTCTTATTGTTAGCAAATTCCATGAAGAGACTAAAGCTAACAATGAACTCCTCTGCGAACAAGGCTTGTATCTAAAGCTTGATGTATCTTACTCCTCTGTGCCATACAGCTCCATTGCTTTCCAAAAACTATTACAAACCATCAATGAGCCACATCTTTGCACTGGGTGACATAATCCTTCATTACCATGAACATGGGCACTGTAGTTTATTTTGAGTCCATCCCACATGCACTGTCCTGCTGCTCTAAATACCTGTACTCACTTAAGCACCAAATATGTATTAATCCGCAGCTGAAAATACCCCCCAACAAATGCAACAGTTCCTTCTGTTTGAGTAATGTTTTCTTAAAAAAACTACAGTGCCCAGATGTTTCAGAAAATTACTCTTGGTCTCTTTGGACTTTTGGACTCCACTGTATATGTATTATTTTTGGTTTTAGGGTTTTCAGGAGAATATGTCGACTATAAGAAAAATAGAGAGTAAAGCAAGCCTATCCTTCATGTTATAACTGTATATTTGTCTTTTTATATGCATGAATACGAAAATTTGGTGACCTAGTTTTAAGAGTTTAAAAACTCTGATAATAACATGTTTCATTAATTACATTTAAGTATGAAGTAACTTTATTCAATTTTCCATTTATAACATTATGTGTAATAACATGTTCTCTCTCCCTCTATTTCTCTCACACAAGACGTACAAGAAGCACAGTGGTTCTCTAAAGAAGGAGCACCAGAACGGCTCTCCTGTATCAACAAATGGACATGCAAATGGGACGCCATCTATGGAGCACAATGTACACAAGAAACTGAGGGTGGATTGACATTTGCGAAACCGATGCTCACTGTAGTGTGTTAGCTAATGCTGCTAGGAGGTATAATTATCTTCTTATCTAGAATAATCTAGCATTCACTTGATGAAATAAGCCATAGCCACATATATCCAGAGACTTTCCATGTTTTTGCACACACTGCTACTCATGGCATTGAATTATGAAATTAATATAGTTTAAGGAGAAGAGTATTGTAGTATGGCTGACGCTGCACAACGTGTCCTCCCCCACCCTCTAGAGGAAATTCATTCCAAAGCGAAAGATCTTGTTCTTGCTACCAGCAAACAAACACATATTCTGACTCATTCAACGATGCTTTACACACAGGAAGTCCAAAGATGAAAGCTCCAGCGAGTGTGTTGGCAGCTGAAGGTTTCATTACACTCAGTGACATCAACTTAAGGGACAATTAAAACAACACAGTGCTTACTATCGTCTTTAATGTCTAACTAGAGCATGCATCTTGCGTCTTGCCTTATCTAACTCCTGCCTGTGCTAAATTTTGCCCTGTATAACTGTAATGCATTTTATTAGTAGGTATTGTAGTAACAGCAGAAGTTGCATATTGCTGTATATTTGCAGCGCAGGGTCTTCAATTTGGAATATTTAGCCATCTAACCAAAGCATAACCAAAGCATATAATGTACATTCATATGCAAGGCTTCATTTTTAAACCAGTTCAAGACACAGTTTTAGAGGGCAGTTGTTGTGTTTTATGAGCACAATTTAAACTCAGTCCTCCTTAGAATCCCCCATGTTACAAAGATCAGTTTTTCTCCTTTCTCACTGTGTTATATCTACTATAGCTTTATCCGGTAAATGCAGTTAGAACTTCAAAAAACACTTTATATTCAAATAAATTTTACTATATAGTTGAGAATGAAAGCTCGCTATTGACCATGGAAACAGCAGACGAAAAAACAATCTCACCACAGTGTCCATTTACAGCAGTAGATGCTCTGGTGGTTTTGCTTGTCACACCATCTTCACCAACACATGGATTTTTCCCAGGTGTCAAGAGAAGTTCTTAACATGCTCAGAAAAATCGAAACATAAACCTCATCTTGAGGTTTCTGTTTTAATGTTTTAATCATCATGAGCTGCTGGACACTTGAACTTCACCCTAGGGGATAAATAAAGTATAGATCTATCTATTTGCTGAGGGAGATCAGATGATACAAACAAAAGCGCCAGAACAGCTACTAAATGGACCTCGTAGTGGAATTATTTTGTCAATTAGTTATTTTTTTTCTATACATAAATAGGGTGCCTTCTGGACCAGTTAATTTGGTTTCTAATGTAGCATTTCTCATCTTTTCAATATGCTTTCATCCTGGCTCATGTTGGTCCATTTCAGACTAATGTGTGTCAAACTTCCTGTTCAAATCCTGTGCCTGACTCTTCACTTGTTTTTTTTTTTTGTTTTTTTTAATTATCAAATGTCCTAAATCATCATTCCTAACATCTGGCACATACTACATGCAATAGAGATGTTTATCTTAGGTTAGATCAAGATCAATACCACTTTCACGGTTAGCCTAGCTTAGCATAAAGACTGGAAACTGGGGGAAACAAGTAGCCTAGCTCTGTCCAAAGGTAGAGGAAATCTGCCTACCAAAACCTCTAAAGCTCACTTTAAATCTTATTACCTTTGGAAGAGAGCCAAACCTGCTGTTTCCAGTCTTTACACTAAGCTAAGCTAACTGGATGCTGGCTGTAGCCTTATATTTAATGCACAGATATGAGGTATATTCTGAACTATTGCTCAGCAAAACTATTCCTTAAGCATTTTCAAAAACACCAAACAAAAAAAACAAAAACAAAAAAAAAAAATCAGAACTGTTTCTCTTTTTCTCTTTCTGAGTTTTTGTGATGTGAAAACAACAAAGTCGTTACATGAAAATTATTTTCTTTGTGAGGAAAGAAGGTTGTAATGATGCAACTATTTATTCCTTTGTGTTCCTTGTGTTATTTTCCTTTTACCATTGTCGGGGGTCTATTGTACACAGTAAATGCTGGTAAAGAAAACAAAAAGGTACAAAGATGTTTGAATTGTGAACTGTTAATGCGACACCCTCGCTATGGTGCACTGCTGCGTCGCTCTACCATGCTGATTCAATTTAATGAGATGCTGTATGGCCTTAACCATTGAATGAGCATGACATGTTGCTCAAATGTATAGGTGACCTACATTCACTGTTCACTGCATCGGAAATGATTGTTAAAATCTGAATAATACATACAAAGGCTACAGTTTCTCTGCATGATAAATCTGGTTCTCAGGCCAATAACACAAAGCTGGTTTAACAAGCATGAACCGCATCTACTCAGAAATTTAAAATTTTATTTTAAATTTCTAGCTACACTTCATCATTGGTACAGTTCATCTGTTGTACAAGGTGTCAGCACTGAAGGTAACAGGGTTTACATATTCAAGGGCAGGATTGGCATTAGCATTAAATTACTCCCCAACTGATAAAGGCCAAAGAAGCATACAGGTATGAGATATTACATTTTATAAACTGTTAAAATAAATGGTTACATTTTTGAAATCTGCGGTAAATGTGGGTTAATACGCTTTGACTCATGCTTTACTCACTGTAACATTAAAAACAAACAGATTGTAAACCTGCTGGTTTTCCTTCCTTGAAAATGATGTAAACACTACAAATAATATTGCCCCTGTAGGGCAAAAGAGTTGAGAGTTCATTGAGCCTCATAAATATTTTGAATTTTAATTGTATTAATTCAATGGTTTGGGACAACATTTATCAGCCATGCTTTGTGTTTTATGCTATGTTAGCATGCTAACATGCTAAACAAAGGTGTTGAATATTATACCTGCTAAACATCAGCATGTTAAGGCATAGTTAAGCATGTTAACATGCTGACTTTAGCATTTAGCTAAAACCACTGCATGGCAGTTGACTTATGAATTTTAGTGAATATGATGCAAATCAGATTCTTTTTTCCAAACTGGCTCTGATGAGCAAAATATACTCTAATATCAACTTTGCTTTATCAGAGTATTAAAAAATTTGTTTAGAGAAGCTTTTTGAATGAAAGTGTCAACAAATATTTCAAATATTTAGTTGGATTTGTAAAGTCCATTCCTACTTTGGTTCTCAGGTGATGAAGTATTATGTGTTTCTATAGAAGAGTTTTTTTTTGTTTTTTTTTTCAAATGTTGTAAACAAATCAGATATAATACAGGTTCTATATAGTGAAGGAAAACGTTAGAAGAGGATAGATGCTCTCCAAATATAGTAGTTTTGGATTGTCACACATTGAAGACTATGATATTGAATACTAAAATTATTAACACAAGTTTCCCCTGAAAGATACTTCCAGAGCCTTTCTCCTATGTTGCTACTTCAATACTTAGAAATGAAGAAATGTTAGTATTCATTTGAGTTTTTGCTCCTAAGCCTTGGAAAACCCATCTTTTGTAGTACTGCTGTAGTGCTAACAGGTCTTAATGTAGTTCATGTAGCTACTGGTCCAGTCAGTGTCATCATCCACTGACTGGTGAAAATAATTTTGCTAACAGAAAAAATATATAGATTGGCAGGTAAAATACTGGCATAATGACAACAGCAGTGACTCAAACAACAGTGCTGAAAAGCTTCAAATCATTATATTTCTTTATAGAAATGACAGCAGCTTCATAGTTCCAATTAAAATGTCATACTGTAAATTGGCCAAATAAAAACACTAATGTTCTCTGTTTCTTTCATGTGTTTTACTTGATTGCTTTGGATTGAAGTTGAAGCTGAAATTAGGATTTTGTGAGCGACCATGTTTGACTTCAGAGAGAAGACGTGAGGCCACAGTGAAGGGGTCCTAACCTGCAGTTTTCATTTACACATGAACCTTTTCCCAAGGAAAATAGTTCTGATACCAGCTCCCAGCTTTTCATGACCTTTGTAGTGATAAGGCCAAGGCCTGAGGAATTTGTCATTCTTGGGAATAATAGTCTAATGTTGACTGTAAACCCGATGTGGATCAGGTTTAGTTCATTTCGTCTGGTATAGTAAGGACACATGGCTGGTGAACTGTTGCTGAGCTCCCTGGGTGACAGAAACAAGACACTGGCCTTCCATGGAAGCAACAAGAAACAGATTTGCCTGAAGCCGCTCTTCTCCTGACACCTGCTTTGACTAAGCGACTTCAGTGATTTCTGTCTCTCCCGTCAAAATGTTGAGCCAGTGATCTACATTGACACATGCCCCCACCTTTGCTCTCCTCAGTCCTTTCCACTTAAGTGGTATCACTACGAGCTCCTCCTCATCAGTGCTGTGTGCAGACTTGATGCACTGGAATACTGTGTGTCACACACACAGCTCACATTTGGAGGACAGAGCAACTGTTTGTGAGCTTTGGTGGCGTGTCGGCTGGCCAGCCACTATGCAAACAATGCCTTACTCACTCATTTTACAGAGGCCATGGCCTGAGGGAGACAGAGAGGGGGGACTGATGGTGTTGAGGTTTTTCCCTGAAAACAGCAGCACAGTAGCATTGATGTATTTTTGTTTTTTTAGATTTAACTGATGTGTCAGACTTGTACTCTCTCTTTAGCATGACTACAGGAGGTTTACAGGTTGTCTACGTGTCTATGTCACATCCAGCACATGACGGCTTTAAACAGTTTTGTCCCACAGTAACTATTTCGTTTCAGGCAGGTGGTTTTCAGGAGGATTTAAGTTCATAACCTCTCACTTCATTTCAGTACTATTCTCCCACTGTACTGTATGTGAGTGTAACCTAAAAAAACATTTACAGTAAAAACCACCATGTGCGCCATTATCTCAAGTTCTTTCAGTCATATCCATATTTATCATGCTAACATGAGTAGATTTCCACGTGTCTGATGAATCATGAATTACTGTATTTTTAAATGACTGCATCGTTCAGAGTGGATGACCATTAATTTCAAGTCCCCCTATTTAAATGTACTGCACGTTTGTAAATGAATTGCAGTGTAATATTTGTAGGGTGCTTTGGCTCTGTGACAGATGAAAATTCAACAGGATTAGTGAAAGTAACAGCATAAAAACAGAGGGATTATGTGAAAAATCAACTCAAACTAGAAGCTGTAAATAAGAACATCTACATTTATAATTGTTCTTTTGATTTCGCCTCTCAGCATTTTATTTTATTTTTTATTTATTCTCTGATTTTGTCACACATTTGCTTCCTTTCCTATGAACTAATACCAAAAGCAGCAACAGCTGTTTAGAAACAACTTATTTGAGGTATTACTTATCATGTTAATTTAGGATTTGCAAACGACTAGTTTCTTTAGAATATTTTGAAAAACCAACTAAAGTCAACAAGCCACAAATCATTTTAGCCTAATCCAATACAACTTCCACATTTATTTATTTTTTTTCCTCTGCAAATCCTGTTTGATCTGTCCGCGCTTGGTTCCCAGAAAATGTAATACGTGGATTATACCCCTGTGTGTCCTCAGCAAGACAAATGATGTTGAAGTCTGAAATCACATCTGCAATGTCTTTTTACTGAGGTTGTGTAATAGGATGTCTATCATTTTACCGAGATGTATCATTTTTTCTAAAGCCATGAGTGAACATTACATACTGAAGAATTGTTAGGTACGTCTCAAAGATAACCTGCCTGGTTGCACATCACTACCCTGAGGCTGATATTTTATTTTTGCTTAAACATGTTCCAACATTGACCTAGCGTCTTTCTATGTAGTATTTCTCCATACAGGTCATTACATTTAAAACAAATTAAATTATAAGAGCATATTCTTTTCACCACTGTTTATTTGAGGGAGAAAGTGCACCATGAAACAAAAACTGTATGAACATTCATTGCTTGGAACAGGTGGGAAAGGTTGCTAATTATTTTAGCTCTCAGCACATTACCATAATTTCTGAAATCAGAAAATAAGTAGTATTCTATTATGTAAACCTGTAACGTAACATGCTCGTTAGTAGGAAACATGAGGGATCGAACTGTATATTAACATGATAATCCAGCTGCAGCACAAATTAAACAGGCTAAGGAATATGCATTTTGTTAAAATGTTGTTTGAACTTTTGCTGTGGTCTTCGTGGGATCATGTGCAGGTCTCCACGCTGCTTAAAGAGGCTGCTCAGAGAATGCAGTGTAACTCTTCACACGTGCAAAGAGGAAGGGTGTGTACATCGTGTCCAGGTCAAACGCTGTGACAACCGTTTCCCCAGTCAGCCTAAAAACATACTTAATGTCAATTTTGAAACAAATAGGGAAATAATTTGTCTTTTCCACAACCACTGGTACTCACTTATAGGTGATGTGGCAGGAATGATGGATCCACACCAGCTTACTGAAACTCTGACGCCCCCCAGAGGACAAATGCAGTCCCACGTGGAAGGTGTGTTCAGCCTCCGGAGCTGGGTTCCGCCTGCAGAAC